CCCCCTCTCTCTCTTCTCTCTCTCTCTCTCTCTCTCTCTCTCTCTCCTCTCTCTCTCTCTCTCTCTCTCTCTCTCTCTCTCTCTCTCTCTCTCTCTCTCTCTCTCTCTCTCTCTCTAAACTCCATTCGTGTGCACGCTTGCAGAGTTGTACCTCTGAAATGTACGTATGGAACAAATTCAAACAATTACAACAAACGCACACGAAGAATGACTATACAACCAACGAACAGACTTTTCTAACGCCGCTATTTGCCTTCTAGGTTGCGATGCGGAACAGCAGTCTGGCCGAGAAGAAGAAGATGTTTGACGAGAACGTGAAGAAGCACCACAGCAAGATGGCCAACAACCCCTTCAGCGGTTCCTTCAAGACGGGTCCGCAGAGGCTGGCCAAGGACGACCCCAACTATGGAAGGTGGGTGGGGGGGGGAGACGGAGGAAGGGTTGGGGGAGAAGAGAGGAGGAGAGGAGGGGTGTGGAGGCAAGCAGAGGAGGGGAGGTGGAGAGAGGGGGTGGGAGTGGAGACAAGGAGAGAGGGGGAGGTGGAGAGAGGGGGCGGGAGTGGAGACAAGCAGAGAAGGGAGGTGGAGAGAGGGGGAGGCGCAGAGAGGGGTGGGAGTGGAGACAAGGTGAGAGGAGGAGGTGGAGAGAGGGATGGTGGAGAGAGGGAGTGGGACTGGGGACAAGTAGAGAGGGTTAGAGAGAGAAGAGAGATGTTGGGAGGATGAGAATGGAGACTAGGAGAGATGGGGAGGGGGAAGGTTGGAAGGAAGTGGGATAGGTAGGGGAAGAGAGGGGTAAGGGCTGGAAGGTGATAAAGAACGAGGATGGGAAGGTAAGATTTAGAGAAAGAGAGAGTGAAAGAGAGAGGATTAGAAGGGGGAAAAGAAGAGGACAGAAATCGGAGATTCAAAGGGAGCGAGATAGAGAAAGCGAGAACGAGAAGAGAGAGGAGAGGGAAATGGAGTGGAGATTGAAAGGGCGAGAGAGGTTGCGAGAAGTGAAAGAGTGAGAGAAGAGAGGGAGAGGAGCGTAATAGATAGAGAAGACAGGAGGTAAAGATAAAAAGAGCGAGAGTAAAGTGACAGCGCAGAGAGAAGGAGGAGAAGGGGCGAGGAGAATATCGAAGAGGAACAGAAGGGACGTAGAACTGCAGTGTTGGTAGGGGGAGAGAGGGAAGAGAAAAGGAGAGAAAGAGAAGGGAGGGGAGATAGTAGGATATCTGAAGAGGAAAATAAAGGAAATAAAAATCACTTCGAGAGGGAGATGACAGCGATGGTAAAAGAAGTACTGGCGAGCGAGACCCTCACATTTCGTCGTCTATTAATGCTTGAGTTTGTGGGGAAAATCCTTTACCTTGAAGAACAGAGAGAATATTCAGGATGTTGCCAAAGGATTTTTCCGTTTTTTTTTTCGAAAATCAGTCACGGGTTTCAGTCACGTAATCAAGCAGGGAAGAGGGTGAAGGATATATTTCGACACTTGCCATGATTAAAAAAGAATAAAATAAAAATAGATAAAGAATAATAACGGGGAAAAGATGATTCAGTTATTTCATCCAACGTTATAGTGAAATTGAAAGGAATGTACTGTTTGGCTGTACTAAGGACGCGGATAGGCTTGCGAGCGATAACATTGGTCGCTGTGTGCTGAGTGCAAAATGATGTGATGAGCGGCAGTCTCAGTTCCTGGGTCGCCAATATCCACACTCGGTTATTGAAGCAAAACTGTGATGGTAACGAATTATTGGCGTGGTCTAGATATTTACGTCCAAGATATTGTTACTCCTGGCACGTCAACGCTAACCGGGAAGGGAAAATTTCGTTGTTAGTTCGAAAAAAATGAAATTCGATTGAAAAGATGACGGGAGAAAGGTTTTCGTGAACAAACGTTGATGGTTTTAGGGTTCAGAAGACGTAGTCAGCTGGTTCCCGTGCAGGTCTTGACTGAGCTCGGTTATGGGACATGTGGCTAAGCTCTATAACTGGCGCTTAAGGCCACTTTTAGGTTTCCTTGGGGTTAAGTTACCCTCCCTTACAAGCTCTGGTTACCGCAGGGCGACGGAGAGTCTCCGAGACGCGAGGTGCCACATCGGGCACATCATGCCGGGCACAGTGCCCTGACCTCTCGATTTCCAGATAATGGAAGAGTGGGATTTGGTGCGACGGCGAGGGCGGGATGCAGGTCGCTTCAGATCCCCACCTGCGGAGTCCTCACTGATTCACTGAATGTGATCGCTCTTTTTCACAATGGATGAAATACAGAAAAAAATCATAGACGTGCGAATGGCCCCAACCTCCGTTCACTATCTCTCCTTTGGAAGAAACGACGACGATAACTACCAGATCGCCGAATAAAAAAGACAACAAAATGGGGAAGTGTCAGGAAACTGGCAAAGGTCATCGTTACAATAACCTTTTTTTTCTAAGGTGTGTGTGTGTGTGTGTGTGTGTGTGTGTGTGTGTGTGTGTGTGTGTGTGTGTGTGTGTGTGTGTGTGTGTGT